TCTCTCTCTCTCTCTCTCTCTCTCTCTCTCTCTCTCTCTCTCTCTCTCTCTCTCTCTCTCTCTCTCTGTGTGTCTGTCTGTGTGTGTGTGTGTGTGCGTGTGTGTGTGTGTGTTTCTGTGTGTGTTTTGCTTTTTCTGCGCACGCAAACAGGATCCGAGCCAAACACTGCTAAGATTGCAAGTTGAGTGCCAACCAGATTCTCGGAGACGACATTCTGAAAACATCCAGACGACATCATCCTGAAGTCGTCAGCCTACAGAACAGATCAGTCCGCGAAAGTGTGACCAAAACCCCTGCTAGCGAACATGACAGCCCCCCCCCCACACACACACACAGTCATGCTCTTTTCTGTGGAGAGGTGTATAGGGAACACGACAACACACAGAGGGAGGAACTGATGGCCAAAGACTGTGCCGAAGACACACTCACCTAGTTCCAGACCGATGACGTCGACGACATCGTTGTTAGGCACAATGGGCTCCGTCTGACAGTCGCACCCGCCCTGGGCGACGACCAGCTCTGCGAGAAATAGATTTCTTAGGAAGCTCCTCCACTTAGCTACCGAACCTCTCGCGCCGGCTCCCTGGCTGGACCCCAACTCAAGAGATCTTGCGCCGGCTCCCTGGCGGGACGTCGCGTTCTGAGGGTTTCATCTCTGGACCAAGCCCCGCTGTGGTCTGGGCCTTGGTCCACCACCCTGCCCTGCACTTCAGTCGCAGCCCAGCAGCACCATTTGCGCCTTTTTTTTTGCCTATGACATCTACTTACCGTCTGGCCCAGCCTGTAGCTTGTACGTTGATGCTGTTGGGGAAGGGCAATGTAGTTATTGTATCCAGCGGGGGGGTAGCTCAGTTGGTAAGGCACGGAAGTGGCATTCAGGAGGTCTTGGGCTCAAATCCCATTGGCCTCATGTAACTTCCTGGGCAAGCTTGGCGCCCACCACCTAGAGATAGTCTGTTGGTCCCCTCTAGTGGCATTTAGCAGAGACTGCTGATGTTCGTAAGAGGAGGGGACCAGAGGGGTGGCACAGTGACTGGCCCATCGAAGAAGCTCGGTCCTGATGCTACCGGCTGACCCCTGGCCGGTATCGCCCACCTGCTGTAGCAGGTATCGCACCAGGTCCTGCTGGTGGGTGCAGCTCCCGCGTGTTCCCTCGGTGGAGGCTTGAGCATGGATGTGGCTGCTACGGTGTTCCCTGTAATACTATAATGGCAATAAAAAAGGCCTGAAAGGCCGTCCTGTCCAGATTTGGCAGGTAATGAATTGGTTGGGCGTTGCCACATGGCACACAACATTGTAGCGTGTACCTTCATGTTGTTGGGAAGGGGTAAGGTTTTGAACGTTCATGTCGCTGGGGAGGGGTAAGGTAGTCATTGTGTCATGAGGAGTGTGAAATAGGGCCTCACCACACAGCGTGTGCACACGCAAGGGGTCATTGTGTCATCAGGTGTGTGAAATAGGGGCTCACAGCAAGGCACACGAAAAGGGACTCTCATACTCTTTTTTAGCATTGCCCCTCACCACATTTCCCCTTCGATAGGGCCTCACCACATGGCACACAAAAAGGGACTCTCTTCATGCGTCAGAGCACAATCGTTTTCACATTCCATGCGTGTGAGAGGCCCTCCTATGCTGGAGCCCAACCAACTTTCACACCAACGTGGACACTTCCTGCCAAGAAATGAGGTTTGTCTTGTTCTTCATTCTTTCCTTTTCTTATTTTTATTTTTTTTTTCTAAGAAGATTCTCACACCCGCCCTGTCCTGCCCAGCCGGGCACCCGGGCGTGCAAATTTATTTTATTTTATTTTATTTTTGGTTTTCTGCACTCTCCGAGAGGACCCCAAATCCGGGCTCATTTTGTTTTTTGTGAGTTGGCTTTCAAGGGGGGGGGGAGGGGGGTATGAATTGACTACCGCGTGGGCGCGGGGAACGCAGCCCTAAGG